CCCATCCCAGCCTACCTTGACATCCATGCATTTCACAGAGCAGCTCTGCAGCTCTGTCCAGGCAGAGCCGGACCTTGGCCACTGCTTGCAGGTTTCTAATAGAGGATTCCCTCCTGGCTTTCTGGCTGCTCTTCTGGAGGTATCTCACTAGAAAACGTGCCTCTTCCCGCAAAGAGTGGGTTTGTTCTTTCTCAGAGCACGCTCCAGTTTTATCATACATTGAATCCTGAAAAAGAAGGAGTGAATGGGGAGGAAACCACCCTGTTCCTTCCCTGCCCCTGGCCGCTGCAGCTTAGGTCTGTGCTACGATCTGAGCCTTTTTGCACGATCGCGGAGAGTGCTGGGGCAGAGGGAGGAAGCAAGGGAGCAGGGGAGAGGTCCAGTAATGCTGCAACATGGGGTCTCGCTCAAATGCAGAGCGAACGGGGAGCGGGCACCGCAGGGTGGAGGTGGGAAGAGCTTTAGGACTTAACTCTCTCCTGTGTTTTCTAGGAGGGCAGCAAGCACATGGTGGACGGGAGCCCGCAGGCTGCCAGAAGGGTCTGTGTTACATGGGACTCCTGAAGGCCAAGATGTCCCCACCCGGCCCCTGGGAAAGGAAGGGGAGCCAGTGAGCCTACCTCCAAGCAGCTGACAAAAAGCACGTAAAGCTCCGACTTGTCGTCTTTGCCCAGGATCTGGTTCTGCTCCACCTGCCTCAGGTACTCCTGCAGGTAGTCCTTCACCTCCTCGAAGCTATGGCACAAAGAAACCTCCTCTTACCAACCCAGCAACCCGGCGTTACTGCACCCTGCCAAGATCCTACGTAAGCTGCTAAAGCCTGTGGACAGGGAGTCACGTCAAGGCGCTGCTGGGATGGAGAGGGTGGCCGTGACGGCTTTTGGCAGGGGACATGGACATCTCTGACCCATCCAAAGGGGCACTGCGGAGCTGCGAGCCCCAGGGCTGCACCAGACACCAGCAGGCTCCTATATAACTTCAGTCAGCTGCTGTTATCAGACCCTCTTCGAGAGCCAGCAAGCTCCCAACGAGGGTTAGGGACCATCACCCGCCAAATTCAGCTGCTGAACGACCTTCAGATCTAGCTTCCTGCGCCACCTCCAAAGGCACGCTCAAATCTAGGGCACCGAAGAGGGCTTTGCACCCGGCAGAGAGAGAACAGAGCATGAGCCTGAGGCTGTGACAGTCGCATACAGTCTGCCTAGAGAAAAGCCCTCTCACTACTCCCCGTGCTAGAGAAGTCAGCTCCTGTGTTATTAATGAGGCTCCCTCCTTTCTGTACGTAACCCACCACATTTGCCTACCAGATGGTTTCTCAGCACAGACATATGATAAATTCCATATCAAGTCTTTGGGAGGCATAACCACGCCATCAAAGGGCAGCTCCTCTGAATGAGGCAGTCTCTTTACATGGCAGATGGAGCCTCACACACAGAGGGCATTTAAAGAAAAAACATCTGTTTGAAAATGGAAAGCAGTATTCAACGTCCGTGCGCGTCAGAGGCGGGGTTGCCATAGTTATGAACGTTTCTCTGTGCATCCGGATGCAGTCAGCATCATTCTTCTACTCCAAGAGTACATGCATGTAGTTGACAGGCAGGTGAGGACTGGCTGGATGTACAGTGACCTGTTCAAGTGCCCCTCAGAGGCACAGATGGGATTTCACAGGAGCAGGTTCAAACCGCGGACGCTCCACCCCTCTGCGAGCAACACGTGAGAAGCAGGGAGGCTCTGGACTGGCTCGAGAAGGAAGACACGCAGTCCGAGCACACCCACCACCCACCCCACAGCCCTCACCTGTATTTCAATAGCAGCTTCAGCACAATGGAGCGGATGACAGGCGTCTTGTCCACCACGTCGTCGAACGGCGAGAGCGATTTTGTGTACACAGCCTGGTGCTCTGCACGCAGGGGAAAGAAAGAGCACGTCTCATGGGCTTGAGAAAGGTGAGAAGACATGTTCAGCGTGGGGGCTGAGCCCAGCAGGGAGGACAGGACTTACCCATCATACCAACTGTGAAAGGCTTCCGGTGAGCAAACAGCAGCCCTAACAGCCCCTCAATCACGTCCTTCTCTGGCGGTTCATTGTCCTTGAAGCACATGGTGGAAACCAGGTCTATGAAGAAGCTGTTGCACATCTGCCGAAACTTGGCGTTCTTCTGGATAGCGTCACTGAGGAAAGGGCGAGAGAAACAGGGTCACCGAGATACCCGGACAGCCGCAGGCCTAGTTCAACCGCACTGTGGGTAAAGCCAAGACGAACACGAGGAGCAGGGAGAATTTAACTGGCAACACGGGATTCTCCACGGTCAAATGCAAGTTTCAAACCAAGAGAATTCACAATACACAGCAGAGGAAAACGAATCATGATGATGACGGCCTTAGCTAGACCATTCTTTGGGGATGAAGATCAGGGTCTCTTAACATGACTATGTGTCTGTTGATACAGGGGGAACGACACTGGTTTTTATGGGACAGATGAAATACCTGAGTGTCTTGGAGACGGTTACATTATAGGCATCTGGGAGGTTGACTTTGCAGTATGGACAGATCATCTGGCCTGGTGCTAGCCACTGTTTGATGCAGTTCTGGCAGAAGACATGATCGCATGGCAGCTTGACGGGATCCTGGGGGTCTCCCAGGCAGATCGGACATGGCGTCAGACCATATCTGCAATACACAGCATGGCTAAACTCAAGCAGTCCAGACACAAGCCTCCAAGTCTCCTACTGCAGCTCAGAATGAGGAGAGAAGGCAGCTTGGGTCTTGCCAGCTCCTCTTGGAGCTGCGAATAAATCTGGGGCATTGAACCGCTACCTGCAAGCAAGAGCAGCTACTTGCCTACAGGAACTGCAGTTCCTACAGAGGTGTTGCCCACGGACCGTACTCTTGGGGAACCTGTCTCATGCAAGTGGGACTGGATGCTTTTGGAATAGCAGCTCCGGCTGAAGCTGAGCCCATAGGCCCTGCATCCTCCAGACAACCATAGCCAAAGATATAACAGACTGGGCAGCTGTGACCACCAGCCTCTGCTGCTCCATGCACCCTCCCCTCCCCTCCCCATTCTTGAGGGCCCCCTCAGAAAGCAAACAGCACACTGAAGAGGCCTGAGGTGTGCCCCTCTCCCACGAAGAACAAGTCTTGAGTGGTTTTATTTTCCTTTCTTTGTCCAGTGGGTGCAGACAGGGTTTTTACATAAAGGAAGCTAGAGACTAGGAGACGGGATCCCAGGGTCAGAAAAGCTGCATTGCAAGGATCACAGACGCTGCTGGTGTTTTGGCTGGCACCCCGGGCCGCAAGAAGGAACTGAGTGGTGGTTGCAGCCCCTCTGCCCCTTTGGTTAAAATATCCTGGAAGGTGCAAGGGGCATTGGCATGGCCAGATAGGAAGCTGCTGTCCAAGAGCACTCTGCCTTGCCCACTCAGGACACACGCATCCCAAGAGCAGACCCTGGGTGGACAAGGCACCTCCAAGTAGAACAGCAGCTTCCATGTGATCCCTGCCAAATCTTAGAGGCTTGTCCGTGAAGGGCCTCTTACCTGCTGGAGGAGGAAGGAGCGGCAAGGGCAGACATGAGCTTCAGCTGGGCACGAAGCAGCTTGGGACAGTACAAGAGCATGGGCTCAAATCAGAGGAGAGCATCCCTCCTTCCCATCCACCCACAGGGCACAGAACCTAGGTCCAGCCTGCACCCGTGGAGGTTCATCTGCTGCTCCAGCGGGCCACGTTTTTCCAGATTCAGTGCTAAATACTTAGTGTAAGTACACCAGCATCCTGCCCAGCCCTATGATGTTACCTGCAGATCGTTTTGCTGGCTTCTTCCTTACAGAGACACAGCACCTTCATCACCGCAAAGAAAGTTTCCTGAGTCTTGAGGTCAGAGTTCCCCTGGAGGCACTAAAAGAGAAGGACAATCAGAGCGGACTTTGCTCTGCTTCTCAGGACAGACTTGCAAAAAAAAAAAAAAAGCAGCAAAACCACAGCCAGCCCCACCCAGCTCTTTGATCACTCGTTGGCACGGCCACGTGCCACCAGCACTGCCACGTGGTACAAACAGCTAATAGCAAAACCACAGCCAGCCCCACCCAGCTCTTCGATCACTCGTTAGCACGGCCACGTGCCACCGGCACTGCCACGTGGTACAAACAGCTAACGAGAGCAGGAAGCCAGGAGTCATGGGAGCTGAGGACAAGGAGGATTTTTAAGAGCCACTCTCATGGGTTAACACTGTGCCGTTGCAGGTTGCTTTTGCCCAAGTCCATGACTCATTTCTGGGGAAGGGAAATCAGTGAGGTCCATCTTTATATGCACACGGGCTCACCAGCTAGGGAGGAACCAAGCAGAAGCCACAAGAACAAGGATACAGAAGACAACATTTTCTCCTGGATTTTCCCCCCTTTTTGGCTAGCTGACTCTCCTTGCCCCACGACCAAGCAAACCACGACTGGGCCTCGCCCTGACACCAAGGAGCAGAGCAGCTCAGAAGGATGCCTGAGCCGTGGGAGGCCAAAAGTTCCTATACTTTGAAGCAGGGCTTTTGATGCTCTGCAAGGGAGGTGCAGAACAGAAGTGATGGCAGCTGTCCCAAGGGTAGGTCCCCGTCCCAGTCCAGGAGCAAACAGGTTGGTGACAGCAGAACAACTGGGGACAAGGTGCACAGAAGGACTTGGGGACATTGCAATCTGCTCACAGGCAATTCATGAAGAGGAAGAGTAGGAAGAGGCAAGGCAAAACATCCTGGATCACCCATCCTGAACAATTTACTGAGCCCCGACTGCGACTACGGGACAGGAGGTGTGGGGCAGCCCTCAGTTATCGAACCAGTCATATACAGAAAGAAAGGAAGGGAGAGGAGAGTGCTCCCTCGCTTCCAGCCCCTGTGTCCTGATCTTACCTTGCCGAGCATCAGGATGTGTCTCTGCACCAGGTCCTGCAGCTCTGGGAGGTGGGCGTTGACCCCCAGCAGCACATGCTCCACCAAGAGAGACATGGAGAAGATCCGGTTCCACCGGATCCTGCAGAGAGAAAACCCCATTACAACACGGGCACAGGGAGCCTCACGGGCTGATGTTAGCAGTGAGGGCGAGAAGGACAGGAAAGGGCAGATCCATGCAAGACCCATGTGCTGCAATTCTCATTCTCCACATGGACCAGGTGTCCTTGCTCTGTCCCATGGGCTCCTTGTTGCTTCTCTCCATCTTGTTCTCATGCTACAAGCTCCTTGAGACACTAGCTGTTCTGTCTGTGCAAGCCCTATCACACTAGGCTCCGGGTATGTGATTAGGGTCCTGAGACCCCACTGCAATACAAGTAGGTAAAAATCCCTGGGTTGTGGGATAAAAGCAGTCCTGTACAGGTTCGAGCCTTATATCACGGTGCTAATTAGAGAGCTCCATTGTCAGAGGGTTATTCTTCACCTGCTGTTGCTCCCATATCCCCAAGGCCCCACTCTGGGATTGTGCAGTTCCAGATCTGTGACCTGGGAGATGGGGAGTTAAGCTAACAACCCGGTCAGGGTCGCTGCCCAGTTACTTCACTTGAACTCATCCTTGGCCCCACTGGGAATGCGAGTTGCTGATGCTTGCAGACCCACGAGAGCAATGTGCGGCACGTGAAGCAGAGAGGTTCTGGTGCTGGGTTGTTCAATCCAGCCTAGTGGTAATGAGTTTAAAAGGTTTTCTGTCTGAGGAGGAGCGCACAACAGCTGCATTCAGGCGTCCTCCAGAGGAAAAGCAGGACTCCCAGGGAATCTGTGGCACTTACCTGACTTCCTGGAGCAGCTGATGGCAATGGCTGCTATGGCCTTGCAGGTAGTTCTCCGTGCAGACCAGTTCAATGGGCATGTGAAGGTTCTTCACCTGCTGGAGCCAAGCCTGCGGGTTGCACTTCAGCACTTCACAACAGCTGCATTCAGGCGTCCTCCAGAGGAAAAGCAGGACTCCCAGGGAATCTGTGGCACTTACCTGACTTCCTGGAGCAGCTGATGGCAATGGCTGCTATGGCCTTGCAGGTAGTTCTCCGTGCAGACCAGTTCAATGGGCATGTGAAGGTTCTTCACCTGCTGGAGCCAAGCCTGCGGGCTACACTTCAGCACTTCGTTCTCCAGCCTCTCAGTACAAGCCAGGGCCGCAAACACATCCAGCACCTAGACAGACGTGTGCATGCACAGGGTTGTAAGAGGACTGGGTACAATGGGTGGAGACCTCCTCTTCCTGGCTGAATTTCAGGGCTGTGGACCCTGGCTTGGTACTGCAAAGGCAGTCACAAGTGCTGCGCTGTGCACACTGGTTCACTAACAGAGAGCAATGCTCTCCAAGTCGCACAATGTGCCAGCCCATGGCTCAAGTCACTGGCACATGACCCAGGGCACAGATTATCCATCTCCTGCCATCACTATAGGGCAGATAGGTGATAAACAGGCAAGAACACAGCCCAGGCACCCATGATAGGCTAAGGGTCCTGCCCAGGCTTCTAGTTCCCCGTGTTTAGTGGCAGCCCACTGCTGAAATTAAATACAACCAACCAAAGGGGCCTGGATTCAGAGTTGGGGAAGCTGTTCCCATTGGAGTCCTGTCTCCTATAGCTAAGGATCACACAACATGCAAGGGAAGCCGTACCATCCCAGAGCGTGCCAGCATGGGATCTGCCACTGACTGTTCCTCAAGATCCTTCAGCACTCTGGGATTCACAGCCAAGATCCTGGAGAAGTTCTGCAGCCGGCTCCTGAACCGATGGTATCCCAGGTGGACCCAGGGCAAGGACAGCATCCTCTCTTCACTTGGCAACGCAGCCTGTAGTTCCTCGACGCAGGACAAGAGAGCTGTCTGCAGAACCTGGAAGCAGAGAAGAAAACTGTAAAGAAAAGGAAGTTTTCCCATCCCGTCTGCCCCCAAAACCTATAAACAGCTCCAGAAGGAATCGGTGCTGTGCAGAGAAAATGCTCTCAGACAGGAGGCTGGGCAGTATAGTAGTGTCCGTCTCCACGGGTGCTCCTAGCAGAGGCAACTATGCGACTCTGCGAAAGTAATAGCTGTATTAGGGCAAGTGCCTGTTGTCCCTTATTGCCAATCATCTCCACGACAGACTCTGAGCAAAAACAGGCCAAATGCATGCTGCAGCGTGTTCCCCGAATCATGTCTGAGGGGAGATCTGCTCCCCACAGCCTAGCAATTTTTGGCCCTTGTTTCAGATGCTCACCTGTAACTCTCCGACACAGGATACTCTCATAGTCAGGAGGATGAAGTCTATGACATAGAAGTGGAAGAGCTGGTTCCTGTCTTGCTCAGCCAGGCTAGGAATGAAGCTGCCCAGCGGGGTCTTCTGGAATATATCCACAAACTTGGCTGCAGGGCCTGCAAAGGCAGGACGCAAAGGAAGGTGTCAGGCTAGAGGGAACGGTAGTTTGACACCGCTCTCCCCCCGCAGCAGCTTCTGCTGCAGAAGCAACGGCTGCAGCAGGGACTGGGTAAGCAACGCAGCCAGCTCTTAGGAGCTCGATGCTCTCGCTCAGCCCCAGTTGTAACCGGCTTGGCTGAAAAGGGAGAGGAGCAGCTGCTGGGATGCAGTCAGAGCACCCAGTCATTAGACAAGAGAGAGGAATTACAGCATAACCCAGGAGGTTCAGCAAAGAAAGGGCTCGGTGCAATGATCCCCTGGGCTGAGCTCATGCTGGGCTCTCACCTTCTGGGCTTTGGATGTATTGAGCTTGCAGCCAGATCTCTTCCAAATAGTCCTTTATCCTCCAGCTGAAGGGCATCTTATTGCCATCAGACACATTCATGTTATTCGGCACCAGGATGGTCTCGGTCTGGGAGCTGAGCAGGGCAGGTGGAAAACAGAAGACAGGGGAGTCAGTGCTACCATGTTGGGGACCCAGTCAAGTCCAATCAAGCAGGGTCTGAGAGGGTCAGAAAGGCTTGGGCAGGAGGGGCAGAATTGCAGGGCCGTTCAGCACAGCCCCTCCTGCCAGTCACAGAGCAGTGCCGACCAGCCTGGTCCAGCCAGGGTCCTAGCAGGAGGATTTTACCTTTACCTGGGAAGCACGGGGGAGAGGGACAAGCGGGGGAGGAGGGACCCATCCTGGAGCTCAGAACGCAACACACGGGAACCCTGCCGGTCCATCTCAGCCGCTCGGCCATCTCCGTTCAGCCTTTACGCCACGCAGACCACTCTTCCAGCAGGTTGAAGGCCATGAACTTGATCCATCTACCCCCAGCCCTGCCTCCCCCACTGCCTCTTGCCCCAGCTCACCTGCGGCTGCCCACATTGTGGGGTACGTCCAGAAGTTTCAGGTCATTGAAGATGAACATCCACAGTGCTTTCACGCAGTCCTCTGCGTCCGGCTTGACCAGTAACTCCAGGTTACCGTCCCGGTCTATGACAGACACCATGTGAGCCAGCAGCGGGATCACTGCGTTCTGGACCCGCTTCCACAAGGTCTGTCTGTAGGGGACAGAAAAGGCAGGATAGACCCCCAAAGCCAAGAGCGACAACAGCTGATGCCACGAACAGGTGGCTCTTAAAAGGCTGCTAACGAAAAATCCGCTAAGTTATATTTGTAAAGCACGGAGAGAGCCCCAACCCTGCATTTCTGCACGGGCTTTCATTCCATCGCTTCCATTCAGTAAAAAACTCTGCTTTCCCATCCGGCTGCAAGCCCTGCTCCCTCTCCGATGCAGGGAGAGGGCACCTGTGTGTGCAGAATTAGGGTTACCAGCACAGACTGGTGCAACCCAGAGCCCATTCAGACATGCAAAACTGCAGATGCAGCTTTAGGACTTCCAGCTGTCCAGACTTTTTTTAATTATTAAGCCTGCCGTATCGGGTCACGGTCTGTACCTGAAAGTCCCTGCCTCCTGGAGGGCGTTGAGGTTGGAAGCCTCCCGGAGCACCCAGTCTCCCATGTGGAAGGAATTCTCTTCTTGCTTCTTCAAAAGGCTGAAGAGGCGGTTTTTGGATATCCTCAGGAAGGAGGCTGGAAAGCAGCAGAGCAGATGTTTCCGTTGCCCCGGCACAAGCACCAAAAGCTGAAGCAGTGCTGCTTAAATTGCTCTGGTCCTAACCCCAACAACGAGGTGAGCCGCTGGACAGAGCCCCTCCAGAGACTGCTGCCCAGAGTCTAAGACAAGTGGCAAGGTGCCTGCTGCTAAGCATGGAGCTGACAGACCCATTCGCACTTGCACCCGGTCTCCTGAACGATGCTCACTTCACTGGAGTTTGCCTAGAGGTGATCTAAGGATCTGATGTCCCCCCTGGACAAATTACCCGGAGGAAACGGGCAATTCCAAGCAATGCAGGAGATTCTGCTCCCATGTATCGGCTCGGCTCTGTCCCAGCCTCAGACCCTAGGCCTGTTTTTGGGCTGGCTGGATTCGTCTCTGCATCTTCCGAGAGAATCCAGTTCCTAGGACGTGAATACCCCTTTGCAGAGGTGCTCACAGGAGCTCAGCCCCCTCAGTGAGCCTGGCACCCAGAGGCAAATTAGAAAAGACCCCCGGGAACACGCACCTTTCGAGTCATCCTCATTCGATAGAAGGCCGAGAAGAATCTCAACCCTCCTCGTGCTCCGACTGGAGCCCTCGTTGTCATCCCTCAGTATGCCCACCGCGGGTTGCACGCAGCTCCTCAAAAGGTTGGTCGTGCCCAGGACTTCGGCCTGTCGGTGCACAGAAGCGAGATGCCCTGGCATCACCACTGGGCTGCGTGTTCTCTCCCCTTTCTACGTTGCAAATCTCTCCTCACTACCTTGCCGCAGAAAGCAGGTTTCCCTTTGTCCCACTAAGTAAAGAGCTAAATTGGGAACTCACGCTGTACTCCTCCTCTTCCGAGGCAGCTGTCTTCACCTCCATCCGCTCCTCCTGCTGCTCTTCCCCCTCTACTATCATAGCTGCAGCCACAATACAGAGCATCGGATTAGAAACATAATTCACTGCTGGAGCAACCGGACAAGGGAGGACTTGCATGCCAGGGACCCCACGCCAGAGCACTGGATCCTCTGTCAGAGCCACATGTCACCTGCATAAGTGCCAGGCCCTAACCACAGCTCCAGATACTAAACAGACTGACCCTTGTGGAAGAGACTCATTTCAGAGCTGGGGGCTAAGAACAGCCTCATCTCCACAGCTGGACTCAGAGTGGGGATGCAGCGAGAAGAAAGACAATGCAGGGAGAGCTGCAAAGTATGATTACTTTCTACGTGTTTAAGTTGAACTAAAGTGCACGCCCGCCATGCCCTCTGGAACAGCTTACGTTCAGGCTTGTCTGTGTCCTCACGGAAGAGCTGGCTGATGGTGAAGTTCCTCAGGGCAGTCACGTCAGAAACCATGTCCTTGGATCTGCGGAGGTCGTCGATGTGCACGGACCGCCACAGCCCTAGCAACAGGGAACAAGGCATTTCTGGTCCGCGAGCTTCCAAGATCTCCCCGCCAAGCAGCAAACAGGGGTGGGCTCCAGGGCCCAGCAGTTCTCACGCTCAACCAGAGTCTGCTTCTTAGGCCCTGGACAGACCAAATATTAAATGCACACCAGCCTACGCAGCGTTATACCTACGTAAAGAAGCAGTGGGAAGACCGCACAGTGTAACCGTGCCCAATCCGGTACAAAAATACCCCTGACAGCATTGGGGTAAAACTTGACAAGTTGTAAAGTGCAGAGTGCCAGTCCCATCACAACAGCTTGCTAAAGGCAAATGGGCCGTTACGTGCTCTCCCAGCTTGGAGACAAGGCACTTTAGAAGCAGCCTCCCGTGCGAGCTACCCTGGGATAGCTACATGGCCGTCTGCTCTGGGTTTTGATGCAATATACAGTAGTCTACAAAACCGATGCAAACTGCACCGGTGACACGCTTGTGTGTCTGGGGACTGCGTCTCTGGCATCAGTGAGCAGACATCCCTGCCGCCGGTTACAGAGATGCTGCAGCTTGCTCTAGCTGGGGTAACTCAAGGCTGTCTTCAACTGGAAGGGCAGGCATGACGTGGGTTGCTTGAGGAAGTAGTTAAAGCTAGAAATTTCCTCAAGACTCAGCAGGGATGCTGAAAGCAGAGCCTAAGCAGCGATTCACAAGAGAGCCAGGGGCCATACACTCAGCCTGAGCCACGTCAGAGCAGCCTGTTCCTCTCTGTCCAGACTGAAAGTGCATCTGTCATTCAGAGCAGAGCTAAGCAGTGCTCACAGGACGGACAGACAGGACCCAGGGGCTGGGCTTCCCCGCAGGCTGGTGCTCTCGGGGACGCTGCACAGACGCCAGAGCGTTAAAGTGCAAAGAAATGCATGGGCCGCAGCTCACGGTATCTCCCAGGATCATAGAAAATGAGGGTTGAAGGAGGTCATGTCTAGTCCAACCCCCTGCTCCAAGCAGGACTGGCCACAACTACATCATCCCAGCCAAAGCTTTATCCAGCCAGGCCTTAAACACCAAGGATGGAGACTCCACCACTTCTCTGGGGAGCCTGATCCAGTGCTGCACCACCCTCCTCGGGAGAAAGTGCTCCCTAATATCCAGCCTACATCTCCCTTGCTGCAACTTGAGACCATTGCTCAAAGATCCCACCTCAAATTCCCAAGCCCACAGAAAGCTGAGCATGCTTTTCTGCCCAAACCCACCTCCGTGGAAGCCCACGTAGAAGCCTCCCCCTTCCACGCGGGACAGCTTTGTGATGAAGTAGACGAAGACGGAGACGTCTCCCAGCTCCACCCTGTTGATCTCATTGACGGCCGAGTACCTGCAAGGGAAGGGAAACAGCTGGAGGCACGTTCGGTGCAGAGCCCTTCTCAGTGCCCGCTCAGGCCTCATGGCGCCCAGGGCCGTTCAAAGATCATTTCCCCCCTCGCTCCTCACTCTCTGCCAGGGCAAGACGAACACCAGCGGTGGTTCCCAGATCCCCAGCATGCTATCCTGACCCTCTCGCCAGCACCCTTTCCCTGCCCTCCCACCATCTCGGCATCCCCCGGTGCTGTCAGCTGCAAGTTTTAGCTCAGACAACATTTAGCAAGTAACCCAGCTCTGTATCAGGTTCTGCTTGGTTTTGCTTTAATGCTGCCCAAAGCATGGTCAGTGCTTCTAAAAGACCAAGTCTACTAAGTCTCCGAACCTAAGAAAAGTAACTTACTTAGCCGAGGCGATGAGCTGGGCACTTTGAGAACCGTCTTCGAAGTCTGTCTGAATAATCAGGATTTTATTCCCAGATGTAGCGTCAAGGAAACTCCTGGGGGGGGGGCATGGGGAAAAGGGGGAGCAAAGAAAGTGTAAGGGCTGTGCAGAAGGAGTTGTTTCATGTGAGATTTGGCTGTGTGCGCAAAGAGGATGATACCCTGAAAGGTCAACCCGGTTTAAAAATTCCCCAGCCCCTCTGGCCATGCTCAAAACCCTCATGTCCTCTGTCCTCCCCCTCCATCCCTTTTGTCTGGCATTTGCTAACCGAGGTGCTGTCATTCCAGCGCTCAGCCTAGACTCCAAGCTGCACAGGGTGGACTCACCGAATCTCTTTGAGGAAGGAGTGCTCGGTGTCGAACTGCTGCAGAGACAGGAGGGCCAGGCTCTGCACCTCGCCCTGCACCTCTGCCCTCAAGCTCTCCGAATCGGTGGCTGTCAGGAGCCGCGAGAAAGTGGTGACCTTGGAGGGAAAAGCATCAAGGGGTTTCTTAGCTCCGACGTGAGCGTGGACGGCAGCACCGGGCTGACAGCACCCGCCTGCGTAGGCTCGCAATGAGGCGCTGCAGCCTCGTTTGTTGGGTGCTGTCTGGGTCTCGACTGCAGCATGCTTCCCCTACCCCCGTACGTGCCAATCCTATGGGCAGGGACAAGTTTTCTTTGGTTTAAAGCAGGCATTTGGAGACGCCCCACGTACCAGCTGGGGCATTAAAGGGCATTAAACCTACCAGCCAGAGGTAGATACAGCCAGTGGTTGTGGGAGCCCCCACCGACAGGGCCACGGCAAGATGATCAACCACCCTACCAGCCCCAGGGGAGGGAAGTGGAGAGATCCCCGTCCCTGGGGCTACCCAAACTCTATTTTTCCCACACCGGCATGGTATTTTCCTGGCTGAGCAGGTAGAGAAAGGGCTATTTTGACAGGGAGCAAGAAGAAACGATTGCCTGCCTTCCAGCAATGCTCACAGACCTGGGCACCCACAGCCCACAGTGCGTCTGCTGGAAGCACCTTGCACCCCAACAGGTCTTCTCTGAGCTCGGAGTGAGCGAGAAGGCCTGGCTCACGCCTACACAAGCGTGCCCACGCTGCAGTCCCCGAGGGATGCACGTGCTCCCCTGGTGCACGTCTTTTCTGTGCGTGAAAGGATTGCTCCAGAGAGGATGCCTAAAGTGGGGGGGACTCACCTCGGTAAAGACCATGCGGGCTTGGGTCTGTGTCTGGATGTGAGCGCAGACAAAATCCGTAAGAGATGTGTGCTGCTGCTGCTTGAAGTACACCTTTTCCAGGAGCTCGGCCATGAAGGAATCGAGCCGCGCGCTGCCCAGGCGAATCACCGAGTCCGGCGTGGCACAGTTCAGTAGCACCAGCTGGGCCTCTTTTTTCACCTCCAGCATCAGCTCCTCGAGAGAGTGCATCTGCTTCAGCCTCTCCGTCACCTGCAGGACGACCGAGGCGCAGGTATCGGAGTGGTACCCCACGAAGACGTCGGAGGGGCTGTACTTCTGCTGGCCCAGGAGCTGCTTCTCGGTATCAACCGCCGTGAAATCATTCACCCATCTCTTCAGCTCTTCCACAACATCCCTCTGCCACCTCTCCAGGACGGTGTCGATATCCAGGTAGTGTTTCTCCAGCCTGTTGATCAGCGGGATGGGGAAGCGCTTGTACACCACGTCCTTCTCCTCGATGACGATCAGACGGAAATCAGGGTGCACTCTGCATTTCACCCGGTGGGTGCCTAAACCCAAGTCAACGTACTTCTGGCTCCCCAGGTGCACGTAATACTGGTTCAGGGCATCATAGAGGCTTTCATAGAGATTCTGCAAGTTGAGGAGGACGACCATCTGCCCCGTTTCCATGCAGATCTTCACGCGGTTGATGTTGCGGCAGATCTGGGTGTATTCCTGGTCCTTGGGGAAGCTGGAGCCAAAGATAATCTCTGGTTGCTGCCTCTTTGTGAAAAACACCTGCTGGAGGATCTGCAGGGCTGCGTAGTTCTCCGTTAGCACCAGCAGGTATCTGCAGTCGCTGTCCTGACCGTCGCTGTAGATGTTCTGCTGGACGAGTTCAATGGTGCTGACGTCGTGAGCACGTATTTCTTCTTTGCCAGGTAACTTGCAGGTAAATGTGTCCAAGGCGTTGATGTCATCTTTGCCGCTGAAGTTACGGAGAACGGCCTGCGCGATGTCGCGAGGCGTGGGCTCTTTCTGTGAGAACTTGGCGAGAGCAAAGACCATTTTGATGAGGCTGTAGTAATCGCGCAGCCCAAAAAAATCCCTGCCTTGGCCCTTGCAAATCTTGTCGTATGCCTCCGCAAACAGGGGAAAGTATTGCTCAATTTTCTGGGTGACCGGGTCCGAAGAGCAAATCCCCTTTGCGCTCTCAATGAGCTCTGTGGTATTGGGATCACCGCGGGAAACAAAGATGCCCCGATTCATTTTGGCTGGATCCAGGGCCCAGTTGGAGATGCCGATAAAACCGACTTTCTTGTGCGGAAGCGGATCGTCGTCGATGCAGCCGTCCTCCAGGAGCGGGTGTAGGGTCTTCAGGGGCATTTTAGGAGAGTCTTCGGCCAGCCCAATCTCATCCAGCACCACCACAGAGACGTACTCGTCCAGGTTCTTCCCGTCCTGGAAGCGGGCGCAGTGCTTGAAGGTCCCAATGATCCCCTCGGGCGTCGAGTGAGGGCTGCACTGGAAGGACACCAGGTGGATCTGTTTCAGCTCCTTGTAGAGATCAACGTAAGCGGCCTGTCCTTGCATGACATCCGCCACGATGGTTTTGGCAAGGGATTTGGAGCTGCCAGGCTTGCCAACGAGGAAGAGGGGGATTTTCAGCTCAATGCAGATGACCATCATAAAGACATTTTCCTTCAAGGCCGCATTTTTGGCAATGGTCTCTCTCAGCTGCACGCCACGCAGAAAGACGTCCTGCATCAGGCAGATCTCATCCAAAATCCCTTTCTGGTTGTTGTAAGGCTTTGGAAGGGCCTTGGAAATCCTGTTTCTGTACAACTTCTTCTTCTCCAAGGACGCATGATAGCAGACCCCAGTTGCCAGTACCAAAGCCCACAGGGCTTTGTTCCTTTTTACAGGTATTTTCTCAGACCTCTTCGCGGGGAGCTCCTCCAGGTTTTTCAGCAGGCGAG